GATTGTGCCCGAGTGTGCCATCTGTGTGTAGGTGGGACTGACTGTATGCATGTTTGTGGCGTTCTGAGACTTGGGATGGTGCATTTGGATTCTGCTTTAGCGGCTGTGTGTATGGGATTGTGTTTCTCTGGAAATTTGTGTGATATTGTAACTGTGCGTTTCTGTGATTATTTCTGCATTGGTGTATATTCTGTGGAATTGATTGTGCTTTTCTCTCGTATGATTCTGCTTATATTCTGTGGTTGTAATTGTAATTGTGTGTAGGTATAATCCTATTAATAGTTGGCTTTACAAATACGTTTGTGTGCGCGCTCGTGCATGCATGTGTATGTGTATATATATATATACACATCCTCAGCCCTTTATTTTTTAATTCTGAGAAAAGCTCTCATTAAATTAATTAAGCATTGCTAAATTGCTGAAGCTGGACTTGAACTTGTGATCCTCTAATCTCAGCCTCCTGAGTCACTGGGCCTGGCCTGTGGACATGTGATTCTGAGATGACCAGAATCTGTATATGATTGTGTCAGAGTGATTACGATAATGCTTGTGTCATGTCCGTGGGTATTTATGTCTCAGTTGACTGGGGGTTGTGTCCAGGTGTAAACTCTCTGTGACTGTGCCTGTCAGTGTAGTGTAGCTGAATGTCTTTGTGCTTTCTTGTCTGTGTACAAGCTTTTGCAGTGATATTCTGTGTGATTGTGTGTGTGAGACTCAGTGGTTTTCTTTTCAGGTGTGGCTATTATCTTTGGGGTTTGTTTGTTTGGTGCTGGGGATTGAACCCACACCTTCATGAATGCTAAACACTTACTCTACCACTGAGCAACACCCCTGCCCTTATTTCTGTGATCATATGACTGCTATTTGTGTATTAGTCTGTGGTTGTGTATCTATATGCATCTGTGTGATTCGATCTGTATGCCGTTTTGTGTGGTTATGTGCCCAGGTGTGATACATCTGTGCCTAAGTGAGCAGCTGCACTCATTAGGTCTCTTTTGTTGTTGTTGTTGTGCTACGGATTGAACCCAGAGCTGTGTGCATGCGAGTCAAGCACTCTACCAACTGAGCTATATCCACAGCCTACTAGGTCTCTTTAAGGAGCATTTGTATGTCATGCATTTGAATCTGGGAATTGAGTGCCTGACGATGTCCTCTGTCTTACAGTGACACACCTAGTGTGACTTGCCTGTTTACCAACTGAAGAAAGCCTAGAAAGCAGGAGGGCCTTGCTCAGTGTCACAGTGGGTCTAACCAGGGCCCTTGCCATCCACATTGACACTCTAGAGAGTGATGTTATTTGGTGGGCCCTGCTTCTCACATCCTCTCTGACTTAGTGTGGGATTGTGTCTGAATGTGATCATTGGCCTGCCTATCCCTAAGTGTCTGGGGCCTAAGTCCCCCTGGACCCTCTCACCTTCTGGGCCCTTCTCACTCTTTTTTTTTTTTTTTTAGAATTTTTTTAATATTAATTTTTTAGTTTTCGGTGGACACAACATCTATATATATATATATATATATATATTTATTTATTTATTTATTTTGTGGTGCTGAGGATCAAACCCAGCGCCTCACACATGCTAGGCAAGCGCTCTACCACTGAGCCACCACCCCAGCCCCATGGACACAACATCTTTTTATTTTATTTTTATGTGGTGCTGAGGATCGAACCCAGCGCCCTGCGCATGCCAGGTGAGCGCATTACCACTTGTGCCACATCCCCAGCCCCCTTCTCACTCTTAATATCCAAATAAAATGGTCCCAGTCCTTCTTCCCACACAGCAGGAAATCCATCACTACCCTGAAATGCCTGGGATTCCACACAGGTCTCCTGGTCACCTCCCTCCTCCTGTAGCTAGTGGCTTCTCTCCTCCTTTCCACCAAAGCCTCCTTCCCTGGTGCTGGTATGCGGCGTTGGAGTTCTCTGATGCTCGTTAGGGGTGAAGGAGCGATGACAACATACATGCTGGAAAACCCAAGTTGAGATTCAAACCTTGCTGCTGTTAAGAAATCTATCATTCTTCCTGGCCACACACTCCAAGGAACTTTGTTTCCCAACCAGATGTCACCTAACCCCTAGACCCCTGTCTTCTTGCCTCATCTTGAAGAGCCAAACATGTCTGTGTAGTGCCTTATCTTAAACAGAGATCTCTCCCCAAGAGAAACTTTGCCTTCCTCTCCAGAAAACCACTCCAGTTACAATCAGTTTATTTCACTGAGATGAAATACACATCACATTAACCATTCTAAAGTGTAAAATTCATTAGCACAGGCATGCAATTTGGCTGGCTGGGTCATTTTTAACTTTTGAGGAACCATCAAACTTTTCCAGGGCTGTGGTTGTGACTCGTGGTACAGCACTTGCCTAGCACGTGTGAGGCCCTGGGTTCGATCCTCAGCACCACAGAAAAATAAATGAAGTAAAATAAATAAATAAATAAATAAACTTCTCCAGCTGGGTGGGGTGGCACATACTTGTAAACCTGGGAGGCTGAGGCAGGAGCACTGCAAGTTCATGAAAGCCAGCCTCAAGAACTTAGCAAGATTGTCTCAAAAAACAAAAAGGGCTGGGGATGTAGTTCAGTGTGTGGGGCCCTGGGTTCAATCCCCCACCACAAAACAAAATAAGCAAAAAGCACCTGTTTTCCATAGTGGCTGTACCACCAACAGTGTGATTTCCCACGGTTCTGATTTCTCCACGTCCTCACCAACACTTCCATTTTGTTCTTATAATTCTCTTTATTATCTAGTTCACAGTGTTGGAGATTTAACCCAGGGCCCTGGGCATGCTATGCATGCACTCTGGTCCTGAGCTGCACCTCCAGCTCTATTATATTTTATTGTTGAGATGGCATCTGGCTGTGTTGCCGAGGCTGGTCTCCAAGCCCTGGGTTCAAGTGATCCTCCTGCTTTAGCCTCCAAGTACCTAGGACTACAGGTGTGCACCACTATGCCTGGCTATTTTCCATTTTTAAAAAATTACAGCCATCCCAGTAGTTGTACCAACCCTGCTTTTTGTCTTTCCCTTCTACCCCAGGGTATGCAAATTTTAAATTTTTTTTTTATTATTGTGTGTGTATGTGTGTATGTATGTATGTATATATATATATATATGTGTGTGTGTGTATATATATATAAATTTAGAGACAGGGTGTCACTAACTTGCCTAGCACCTTGCCATTGCTGAGTCTGGCTTTGAACTCATAATCCTCCTGTCTTAGCCTCCTGAGCCACTGGGCTTACAGGCGAGCGCCACCGTGCCCAGCTTTTTTTTTTTTGTCTTTTTTGTGTGATGTGTTTATGGCACACTATGACTGGTCTGTGGTGACACATCCGTGTCTGGGTGAAGCTGTGTGCTGTATTAGGATGTTTGATTCCATGTCCCTGTGATTGCCTGTGCTTGGCTGCTTGCGCCCCCTATGGTTTGGCAATGGTAACTCTAAATTTGTGGCTACATATTGTGTCTGGGGCAGGTAGTGTGCTATTTAAAGTGCAGGTTTTGGGGAGGATGTCTGTGATTTTATGATGTATGGTTGTGTGCATGACTCCATCACTATGTTTGTGGACATCTGTGTGCAACTACGTTTTATTTTTTTGTGTCTGAGGCCACCTCTGTTTTAGGGGGTTGTGCGACGTCAATAGTTATAATAACAACATACCCAGGAATCTCCGTTTGTCTACTTGGTTGTGGCCAAACTGTATCAGTGGGATTGTGTAACTGGGATTTTTTTCAGCACCTGTCATTATGAATTCTGCATCTCAGGACTGTGTCTGTAAATATTGTGCAATGCTAAGCAATATAGTATCAACAACTGTTTGCATAGCATTTACAGTGCATTAAGTATTATAATTAATCTGAAGATGATTTAAAGTAAGGCTGTAAGAAGATTCTATACAAATAGTGCCATTTTGTATAAGGGACTTGAACATCTGTGAATTTTAAAATCTGGGAGGGGGGTCCTGAACCAATCCCCTGTGGATATGGAAGGATGACTGTATATGTACAGAAACCCTACTTTCTGTGTGGTTTCCTGGACTAAGAGATCAGGAACTTGTGTCACTATGTAATTGCATGGCTATGTGTAGCTAGGAACTGTTTCTGGGGCGTGAGGTTGTGTGCCTATCCAAGCTCCCGAGGCACCAGAGTGGAGGCCTCTCTTGCAGAACCTCAGTGTGGTTCATTCATCGAGCAGTGGCCAGGCCCAGAGCCAGGGTTTGGGTCTCCTGCTTGATCCAACATCCCATCCCTGCCCCCATCACCTTGAAACAACTGTAACTGCACCAGCCTCCCCTTCCCCATAGTTCCATGCAGTGCCCACTGAGAGTCAGTGGTAGGCAATGGTTGGCTGATTGGCAGGGGCTCCCTCCCACCACAGGGTTCAGACCCTGAGAGCTCACATCCCAGTCAGTATGAAACCAAGCTAGTTTGCAGACCCAACCTCCAGCCCTCCCCCTCACTGGGGACACAGCTCTGGGTGTTCTGGGCCCCCACCTGATAGCAACCTCCGACATCTGGTGTGTCTGATAATGCCTGGCAGGGAGTTCGTGCCAAGTCCCGCCATCAGCACGGTTGCTGCTGTTTATTGGGGAGGGGAAGGGCTGCAGAGTCCTATTGGGGAACAAGGGGGTCCCACAGCCCCTTCCCAGAATATGCATTCTGTCACTTGCCCTTTCTCCAGAAAGGTAAACTGAGAACAGGCCTCTAAGCTTCTCCCTTTTTGAGGACTCAGTGCCTCTTTACCCAGCACCTGCACCCTCAATCCCAGGAACCCCCCCAACCACTGACATCTGACTTAGCTTTGAAAACAGAATCAGTCTTTCAGGCCCAGCCCCAAACAGTAGGAGGTGAGGTCCGTTCCCCTGAAACAGTGACCCCTGCCTTGTCTGTGCCTTATCAAGGGCTGCAGCCAATCAGCTGAGGGCTGAGAGGAGCCCTCCAAGGGGCCCAGAGAGCCTCAGAGCCCACGAGGCAGCCAAGGGAGAGGAGGCCTGAGGTGCAGGGTGAGCACCAGCCAGCCATGGCCACAGCTGAGACTGCCTTGCCCTCCATCAGCACGCTGACGACCCTGGGCCCCTTCCCGGACACCCAGGAGGACTTCCTTAAGGTGGGGTCAGGTGGGATCCAGGTGGGCTGTCCACAAGTCAGTGCTGTGGCCACAGGTTTTTGGGGGGGAGGGTTAGGCCTGCATTTTGCCGTGGTATTCTCCTCCATCCAGGTCTAGGGGGTTCTGAGGTTTGGGATGGGGCCTATTTCTGAAATGGAAAACTGAGGTGTGAGCTGAACCCCTTGTGTGTTTAGGCTCAGAAGGACAAACAATGAACCCAATATCAATTGGAAAGAGTAAAGCTATCTGGGGTTTTTCCAGGCCTTGGGACTTAATCTTATTGGGAGATGGGGAAGGAGAGGGAGGGTCTGGGGGGGAACTGAGTCAAGGCTGGGTTTCCCCAACTCAGCCTCCCATCCCCAGTTCTACCACCCTTCCCCCATCCTGAATATGGCTGCAGATAAAGGAAGTCTTATCTTCTCTCTCCAGACAGACCTATGGACCTCTGTCTTTGGAGCTGAAGGAGAGTTAGGGGGGGTAGTTTGGGGTATGACAGTCAGACAAGTCCCCTTTCAGAAGCCTCTGGCCAGCCACTGTCCCTGGGTAAAGTACCCCGCGGTGTCTGCTCAAGTCTCAAGCTGTGCGCTCCCTCTCCAGTGGTGGCGTTCCGAGGAGGCACAGGACATGGGTCCAGGTCCCCCCGACCACATGGGGCCACACCTTTACGTGGGCATGGAGTCAGAAGACCAGCCTAGGGAGAATGAGGACAATGAGAAGGACGCGGCCGCCGACTGGGACCTGAATCTTTTGCTCACCAACTTTCCGGGCCCAGAGCCGGGCGGTGAGCCCCGGACCTGTGCTCTGACGTCCAGTGACGGCCCCGGGGCGCAATTCCCACCGCCGCCTGAGACTCTGGGCCCGTATGCCGGCGGCTCGGAGTTTTCGGCTGGGCTCTTGGGCTCCGAGGAGCAGGCAGTCTGGGTTCGCCCTGCCCAGGGGGCGACAGCTCCCAACCCCTTAGTGGCACCAGCCCTGGCCCCAGCCCCCGAGCCCAAGGCACTGCAGCTGCAGCCAGTGTACCCAGGGTCAGGTGCGGGCTCCTCGGGTAGCTACTTCACGCGGACCGGGTTTTCAGTGCCCGCGGCTCCGGGCGCCCCCTACGGGCTGCTATCGGGGTATCCCGCGCTGTACCCAGCGCCGCAGTATCAAGGGCACTTCCAGTTCTTCCCTGGTCTCCCGGCGCCTTCGCCTGCCCCCGTCGCGACCCCATCCTATCTGAATTGCCTGGGACCCGGGACGGTGGGCACGGGACTCGGGGGCTCCGCAGGAGACTCAGGAGTAACTACAGACGTCGCTCCATCAAAGCGCGGTCGGCGACCGTGGACGCACAAGAGGCAGGCTGCGCACACTTGCGCGCACCCGGGGTGCGGCAAGAGCTACACCAAGAGCTCCCACCTGAAGGCGCATCTGCGCACGCACACGGGTAAGGGGGCGGGGCCCGGGCGCGCAGCCGGGTTAGGACAGGACCCCAGAGCAGAGCCCCGCCGCAGAGCGAGAAATTAAGAAGGGCGCGGGGGCTAAAGGCGAAGTGCAGGCCAGAGGGCAGGTTCTGGACGGCAGAGGCAGGGCTACAAGCAGAGTCACAGCAAGGGGCGGGGCCGAGTGAGCGGGGAGGAGATCTGGAACTTTCTGGGCAGAGCCAGAGAGCACAGCACCAACGCTGGAGGAGGACCGGGCAGAAAAAGGGCCTGGAAAATTGGGGGAGCGTTTCAGTACTGGGGGCCGACCCGTAAGAGCTGCGCCAGGGCTGGTCGGAGGGGCAGAAGTCCGGACGAGGGGTGCAGCTAGAGGAGGGACTGTGGGGAGGGTTCAATCTGGAATGCCAGAATCACTGAGGCCATGGCCAGTGTTTCCAGGCACGTGTTTGTTTGGTGTTGAGGCTGAACCAGACGAGTAGGAGGCGTGGCTACTCGTGGCAGGATAAGATGGGTATAATCAGTTTCAGGGTCGACTCACTGGGGAAAGGCCTCGACTTCCAAGCAGGTCTAGAGCGGAAGAGGGGAGAGCTGAGAGACAAAAGGCATAAAAAGGCACTGGGAATGTGACTCAGTGGTAGAGCATTTGTCTGGAATGCTTAAGGCCTTTGCTGCAATTCCCATCACCACCACCACCAACAACAACAACAACAAAAAGAAGAAGTTAGGTCCCGGGAGTGATAGACAAGGGTTAGGCCAAGTGTATACTGTCCCTCAAGTGCAGCGAGGAGATCATAACCACTGGACACAAGGCCTGGAACACGGAGGTGAATTTCAGGGTTCAGACACCAAGGTCAGGGGCGAGGTTACACAGCTGCTAAGGGCTCCCTGGTGCAAGAAAGGGCCTGGACTATTGGAGGCAAGACAGAAGGACGGGGTTGGGGCTGTCCTAGGACAGGGTACTAGGGCACAGGAAGTGAGGACAATGGTGTAGGGTGCAGGCTTGGGCCCAGGAAATGAGAGAGTGTGTGAGCCAGTTGGAGGTATAGAGGAAGAAGAAGGGTGCATACACCGGCAGGCCCCTGAAAATGAGTGTTCCTTTAGTATTATACCCTAGATACCTCACTTGCCCCACCCTAGTTCTGGCCCAGGCTGAGAAAAGGGATGTTACCTGATGCAGCTGACCCAGGGACAGGGTGGGTCAGACAGTGGCACTCACAGCTTCCTTGCCCCTTAGGAGAGAAGCCATATGCCTGCTCGTGGGATGGCTGCGGCTGGAAGTTTGCACGCTCTGATGAGCTGACCCGTCACTTCCGGAAACACACAGGACTTCGTCCCTTCAGCTGCCAGTTCTGCCCGCGTGCTTTTTCACGCTCCGACCACCTAGCCTTGCACATGAAGCGCCACCTTTAAGCCCTGCCCTGGTACTTGGATCTTGCCAGGAACTGGGGAATGTAAAAAATGGATTCATGCAGGGTTGTTTTCCCAAGGACAGAGGACCCTTGTTTGGACTCCACAAATCCACGGAAAGATCAAGAACTGACACAGACAAACCTAGGGGAGTCTCCAACCAAAGGGAGCCACACAGAAATATCTAACAGTCACACAGACCCAGCACAACAGACCATCAAATAAATGGGACTCAGACCAGCTTGCAGGAAGCCCTGGACAGCGGGAGGTGGGTGGTGTGAGGTTTCCCAGAGACCCGGGGCCTGCAAAGGGGCTTCATGCCAATGCTCATGAAGCTCCACATCAGTGGGGAATGGTTATGGGTCCTATAAAAATGCCCTTCCTATATAAAGCTTCCTCGTTGACCTGACTGGATTATGAGTGTTGGAAGCTGGAAGGAAGTTGTACCACCAGAGGTGATATGGGGTGGGGGGTACACATCCTCATCTAAACTTCGATATCCCCTCACTAAGGATGACCTGGGCCTTCCGGGCACTGCAGGGCTTTGTCATCCCCTTTCCACTTCTAAGACTAAGCACCGTCCTGTATCCTGTCTTGAGCTCTGGGGACATTCACAATGACAGTGTCCCTCCATTTAAGAATCCTCAGACCGGCCCCAAAACCTCATCTCGATCCAAGGTGACTCAGCTAGCTCGGTGGAGGGGGGGGGGGAGCCTGAGAAAACATGCAGAATGAAAACAGAAGAAGGGGAGTATCAGTCCCCTTAAGAGAACATAGGTGACAAGAGCTGGGCCTAACTTACAAGGCAAGAAAGTGGAAGAAACCCAAACTTGTGCCTAATTCAGATGCGGAAGCTAGAGAGGGTTCCAAAAGAAGAGTGGTCTGAGATTCCTCCCAGAGAGAAACGGGGGCGAGACTCCCACAGAGGCCCCATCAGAGGCGGCGCACCGGACCGCCCCGCCCTAAGGGGGCGTGGTGAGAGGCGGAGTCTGCGCCGCGGCTGGCCCTGTGGAGGGCGGGCCTGCGGGGAGGCGCCGCCTGGAGGGGAGCCCCGCCCTTGCAGGGGGTGGGAGGCTGCCTTTCCAAATCACTGCCTTGGTTCTCAGAGGCGGAGTCTCCACCCTCGAGATGTTTCCGCCCAGGTTTGGGGAAGTAAGGGCCTCTAGGAACTTGTGACCCGGTTCCCCCCTGTCTCAACCCAGATTCCTCAATTCCAGCCCCATGGCAGAGCTGAATCGGCTGCTGCTGGTCGCTCTGCTGTGGGTCCCTGCCGGGGCCCTGAGCTGCTATGGGGACTCGGGGCAGCCTGTGGACTGGTGAGCCAGCAGGCCACGGGGCTGGGAGGGGACAAGGTGCGGGAGAGCCTCCGGGAGCCTCTGGCGTTGCTGGGTGGTTCCATGAAGCATGGAGCTTCTTCTCTTCCCCTTCTCCTTTTCTGTGCCTTCCCCAACCTCCAGGTTCGTTGTCTACAAGCTGCCAGCCCACAGCCACCCTGGGGATGCGGTCTGGAGGGGAATGCGGTACAAATACTTGGACGACAAATCAGGGGGCTGGCGCGACGGCGCGGGGTCCATCAACAGCTCCACAGGGGCCGTGGGCCGCAGCCTGCTGCCGCTGTATCGTGGCAACACTAGCCAGGTGAAGGATGCTGTCCCAACCTGGGTGTGAGACTCTAGGAGAGGCCGCGCCTGGGGGGAACCTTTAGGTTACTCCTCTCTCCCCCCAACCCCCCATCCCAGCTGGCCTTCCTGCTCTACAATGACCAGCCGCCTGACTCCAGCATGGTTCAGGACTCTTCCAGCCGCGGGCATACGAAAGGTGAGTCCTGGTCTGGGAGCTAAGGAGGGGCCCTGTTTCCTTATGCATTTTTTCCTAAGCTAACATTTGACCTCATGGAGGGTGGGTATCTGTTCCCTACCTACACTCTCTCCAAGACCCCATGCAAAATGCAGATAATCTTGCTTGAGGGGGAATACTTTGAGCAGTCCCCTGATCCCTTTCTTCTGGTTCAGGCGTCCTGCTCCTGGACCAAGAAGGGGGCTTTTGGCTGGTCCACAGCGTGCCACGTTTCCCTCCACCCGCCTCCTCTGGTGCATACAGCTGGCCTCATAATGCTCAAACATATGGACAGACTCTCCTCTGTGTGTCTTTTCCCCTTTCCCAGTTCTCAGAGATTGGTGAGTAGAGTTAGCAAGGTAAGTCCAAATTCCCCAATCAAAAGTTGGAATGAACAGCCTCACGTTTGTTTCCTTCTTCCTTGTCTTCCAGGCGGGCAACTGACCTACACCTACCCCCTGGTCTATGACTTCAAGCTGGATGGTGTCATTGCCCAGAAACTCCCCATCCTGGAGAAAGTGGTCAGTGGCTCCCATGTTACCCAAGAACCCTGGAACAGCAGTGTAACACTGATGTCACAGGCAGGGACTGCTTTCCAGAGCTTTGCCAAATCTGGAAAGTTTGGAGATGGTAAGCCTTGAGGCTGGGGGTGGTGTGTTCTTTGTGGAAGGGCAATCTGGTGTAGCCACGGCTTAGAACAAACCAAGATCAGGTTTCTTTGGCAGACATAATCACATGAGAGGTAAACAACCATCAGGGTTCAGATTTTGATTTCTGGCTGTATGATGTGTGATTTCATCTGAGCCTGTTTTCTTGTCTGAAAATGGGAACACCGATGCCTACCTTAAAGCATGGTTGTGAATGAAGTGATGCACATAAAGTCTTTGGTAAGGGCCATTAATGTTAATGTTGTCATTCTTGCAGTTGATGAGAATTGACAATTGAGCCCAGAGACAGGGAGTGACCTAGGGAATCTCTAGCATTGGCCCTGCCCCTGGTCATGTCCTCTTTCTATTTTCTGCAGACTTGTATTCAGGCTGGTTGGCCGCAGCTCTTGGCAGCAACCTGCAGGTCCAGTTCTGGCCAAATTCTAGAGGCACCCTGCCCTCCAACTGTTCAGGGACCCAACACGTTCTGGATGTGACCCAGATAAGCTTCCCTGGACCAAGTGGACCAAGCTTCAATGCCACAGAGGACCACTCCAAATGGTGTGTGGCCCCAGAAGGGCCCTGGGCCTGTGTGAGTGACATGAATAGGAACCTCGGAGAAAAATATCGGGGTGGAGGCACACTGTGTGCCCAGCTGCCTGCCCTCTGGAAGGCCTTCCAGCCCCTGGTGAAAAACTGGACACGCTGTATAGAATAGAGCAGAGTCAGCAGAACAAAAAACTAAGCCCAGAAGAACAAAGAACTAAGGCTTGGGAACAAGTTTGGATTTGAGTTTGAATCCCAGTTTAGCCCCCTCTTAATTGTGTGACCTCAATTATGTGCCTTAGTCTACAAATCTACAAAATGGAGATTGTAACACTCCACTCAGGATTGTTGAATAAAAGGAAATCCTTTGGATGATGCTATTGACTTTTTCTTCAGGTAGCCATTAGGACACAGATTAGACACCCCATCCTCTTCTCTTCCTAAGGGTCTGGATACAGCTGGTGCATAAGTGTGCTACTCAAAATTCACCTCCCCTTTCCATGGTAGCCAGGACCAGAGTTCCACCTCCAAACGGGCACAGGGGCATGGGGGCTGGCACGTGTGTCTCCCTTGCCAGGGGAGAAAGGGTGAGCCCCAGAGAGCTCACACAGCACAGACGCTCTTTATTTATATGTGTACATATGTATAGGATGGCTGTACAGCACAGGACCAACGGCCTCCTTGGCTATGGACCTGGGGGTGCTGGGCTGGATGTCCCTTTTTTGGTCAGGCCTGCTGGAGGCACAGCTTCAACAACAGGGCACTGGGAAGTCGGCCCTACTTCAGGCTTGGTGCCTGGGACCAGGAGGGAAGTGGGTGGAGCTGGGGGCCCTGCACTGCTGGGCGCATTCTTGGTTGGGGCTAGCATGGGTGTCTGAGGGTCTGGGGAGAGCTTGGGGGAAGCCGGCTTGGAGCGAGTTCCGCTCAGCGTGGTCCGCTCCTCCACCACCTCCAGGACCCAGCGCTCCCGGCCCCGAGGGGCCTCCCGTGCAGAGGGCGCCTGGGAGGTGGGTTCCTGTAAGCCCTTGGAGTCCGTGCCTGGAGGCTGGGACGCCTCTGCCTTGACCCCCGGCCTCACTGGCTCTACCACAATGGGCACCAGGGGCGTGCCAGCCTCTCCTGAGCTACTTCGCCGGCCTGTCTCGTGTTCCTGCACAGGGCTCAGCGCCGCCTTGGCCACCGCCCTTGCCACCCCGCCCGCGCCGTCTTCCGTCTGAACGCTCTGGTGCCGCGTGCAGCCCGGGTCCCGCTCCAGGGTCCGGCCCCCGGGGGTTGTAGCACGGGGAGGAGTGCAGGCTTCAGCCCCGCCAGGGGACTCCTTCTCCTTGCTGGATATCGGTGGCCTGGGAGCACCATCGGGAAGCAACGGGTCCGCGCCCAAGCTCAGGGGCGACTCCTGGCGGCCCAGGCGACGGACGGCAACTTGACGGGTCGCTCCAGGACCCTCGATGGGAGGCGTCTCACCATCGGACTCTGCTAGGCTATGCAGCGCCAGCTCGCCGTGGAAGTCCTTGCGGAAGTCTGGGTGGCCCACCTCAAGGCTGTGTTTGCGCAGTGCGCCCTTCTTGTCGGCGCCCAGCGAGGCCCCCAGCTTCTCGGCTGACTGCACGCGCTTGAGGAGCGGCGAGCGCGGAGGCTCGGCACTCTTGGGGCGCGGACGTACGACGGGCGGCGACGAGTGCAGTTTGGCTGGGAAGCTCTGTGTGGTATGCGAGCTGCCTACCGTGTGGCCAGGCAGCGGCGGCGGTGACGCCTGCGTGGGAGATGGCGTGTGCGCCAGTGGCGACAAGGGGATGTTGCCAGCTGACTTGCATCGAGCAGAGCGGTACTGGCGATGGAGCTTCGGGGACAAGCCGTGCAATGTGCTGGGCCGGATGTGGTGTGAGGCCGACGACGCTGGCGAGTTGGGTGTGCTGGAGGCCGGCGAGCTACTCTGGGATGAGGCGCCTGCGTGCCAGGGAGATGCAGCGCTCAGTGAGCACCGCCACCAGTGGCCACTGATAAGCCAGTGCCTCTCTTCCCCCACCCCACGCAGGTGCAAAACTTACCTAGGTAGGCGGAGTCAGGCGTGGAGCGGTAACTGTGTGTGGGAGAGCGCGCTGGCAGCCCATGTGTGGGCGAACCCGGAAGACTGTCACTGGACGACAGTGAGCGGTTCAGCGACGACAGAGAGCGGCTAGTGTGCAGCAGATTGGACTGCTTGGTGATCTTCCGAAAGAGGGAGCTGCGCTTCTTGCTGGGAGAAAGGGAGGGAAACACCCAACCTGGATCAAACTTCAGATTCTTGGCCCCTCCCACTTCTGGGCTGCACAGCAGATGCTGTAATCTGAATTTCTAGTACTTCCTCTACAATCAAGGCAGAATTTCCCTGGTCTCAGTCCTGCCTGGCCTCGCCCACTTTGGGCCACGCCCACTCTTTGTTGGCCACTCCCAGTCCAAGCTAGAAACACCAATCCAAACAAAACCGACCTCTTCTGGCTCCTCCCATATTCATAGCCCCACCCTCTCCTCCTACAACCCACCAATCAGGGTTAATTCACCTGATGCAGCCTAGTTTGGCTCCTCTCACTCAAATCCTCTCCTTAGGGTCCAGGCCAAATCCATTGATCAAAACAGCACTCTGGGGTCCTAAGGTGTAGTAGCTCAGTGGTAGAGCGCTTGCCTAGCATGTGAGGCCCTGGATTCGATCCCCAGTACCACAGAAAAACAAAAAACACCACTTCTATCCCCACCCACCTCACCTAGTTCCTTCAATCTTTGTATTTATAGCGCTGGGACTGGAACCCAGGGCCTTGCAGAATGGGCAAGCACTCTACCAACTGAGTCAAATCCCCAGCCCTTGGCTCCTTCAATCTATAAAGAAATCATAGTCATGCCCTCCATAAGATCAGGGAAGGACCACATATACCACCATAGTCCCAGGAGATATGTAGCCTAGTGTCAGAACTGTCTTGTTGTGTAAGTACATTCGTGGATGTTCACACAACAATGCAATCCCCTAAGGGAGCATTTATTAGAACGACTCCTGTCGTTTAGCCAACATAACTGTATTTCAGGTGGCTCAGTCTTGCCTGGTATGCTCGCTCCTGATAGAAATCTCTTAACCCAGCCTCTTTCTAAACACATCCAACAGAGCAGGACTATCTCCTGGACACACATGGCCACTTCTCCCTGCTCTCTCTGCTCCACATCTGAAGCACACCTGCCTACCACACATACCTCTCACCCAACCTGGCACTGCCTCCCTTCCTGGATTTCCCCCACTTTCCCAGCCCCTCTTACATTGTTGGTCCCCTTTGCTCTAGTCACCTGCCCATGCACTTCCCTTTGCCTGTCCTCACTTTGTCCCACCTCCTTAGCCCCTCCTACTGATCAAAGACTGGGGTATTTACAGTCCTGCCCACCTCTCCTGGCCCTCCTTGGCAGAGGGCCGCTTGTTCCTCCTGGCCATTTTGGCCTTGTAGCTGCTTCGCCTTGCGGGGCCAATTCGGATGGAGGTATTTTCAAAGGGTGTTGTGGTCACTGCCACCTTGTTGCCGCTCTAGGGGAGAAAGGGAAGGAATGATCTGCTGGAGAAGGCTCAGGTCTTCCTCACCCTCCACCCAGTGCAAGCCCCATCTCGCACTCACCTTAAGGATAAGCTCCACGACCTCAGGATGCACCATGCCATGCACAGGTTCCCCATTCACGTGGGTGATGAGGTCCCCGGCACAGAGGCCTGCCTCTTGGGCTGGGCCACCTTCCTCCACATGCTGGTGATGGGGAATCCCAAAAGGGCACGATTAACCGGAATAGTAATAAGAAAAGCTCCATAAGCTTATGTGCCAGACACCTGGCTCTATATGCACTATAGTCTTCATAACACCTTATGAAATAGTCATATTCTTCCCATTTTACAGATAAAGAAACTGAGGGTCAGAGAGGTAAATTAAAGAGGGAGTCAAGGGGGATTCTTATCCAGAGGCCTTCTCTCTCCCCTCTCCTCACCCTTGGAAACAAATGTAACCCATAAGTGCTCACCCAAACAATATGGTGCACACTGTAGACATCTGAGTCACCCATGTAGACGCGGATGGCCCGCAGCGTGAAGCCATATTTTTTGCCTGATCGTTGGATGGTGATGGGGGAGCGGAGGCCACTGACAGCAGGTGAGTAGTCACGGCTGGGTGAGGAGTCCCGTGAGGATGGGTTGGAAGAGAGAGATCGTGGTGACATGGGACTAGCAAGGGGTGAGCTTCCATGTGGGTCCACTGCAGACATAGAACCATGGTCACAGGTCATGGCCAATTACCTACAGCTCTCCCAGTATTTGCTCCTCCCTCCTCCCTGTCAAAGTCCCAGAGCTGACTGTCATTGGTCCATCATGGAGCCGATCACTTTGAACAAAGAAAATGCAGTATTCTCATTGGCCTGTCCTGGCTCAAGTGGGAGTAGCTCCTCCCTTGATGGGTGGAACCCTGCATCACCTGCAGGAATCATGACAGATAAGGCTGTGGCTGAAGCTGACTTGATGACTTTGCCGCCTGTTCGAGAAGGCCGCTTTTCTACCGCAGGGTCCCCTGATAGCTGTTGGTGCCGTGCCCGGCGTAGAACCAGGTCATTGGTGGCCCTAGGGCCTGATGGGTCCCCATCCTTCAAGGGTGTGCAGAGGTCACCTGGGCGTGCACGCTCAGCTGCAACACAGAACAGGGGGGTTAGAGATCAGTCCAAGGCCAGGGACTTCTCACATGCTGTTCCCTGTGCCTGGAGTGCTCTTCCCACTTCTCCCCCCTGCTGGATTGTGATTTAACCGAGGTGGATAACATATACAGTCAGCACAGCTCCTGATATGGAGAAGTCCTCTGTTTCCGAGTCTGTCGCGTCAGTCCAAGCATAGTATCCGGTGTTCCTACTATTAATAAGCATTTCAGGATGGAGTATGACTAGTACTAGGCTCATTAAATGCTCAGTGTATCACCACTGGGGATTGGGGAAGGCAGCAGGAGAGGGAACTCACTGGCCTCAGGTTCCCCGGCGCTGGGAGTGCCTTCCCCTTGAGCCGCCTCTTTGGGGGCCCGCGCATCCAACGAGCCTGGGGGGTCGGAGCCGGGCCGAGGCCTGCGCAGCCGGGCCTCATCCTCATCCTCTTGGGGGGCGCTGAAGCGGCTGGGCTCCAGCAGCGCCGAGAATCGGCGACGCGCACCCAATGGAGGACTGGCCTCCCCCTCCAGGAAACTGGCCTCCGACGCAGAGAAGCGCTTGCTGCGCGGAGGGGTCGTGGTCAGCGGAGACACGCCCCTATGCCCCGCCCCCAAACCCATCCATACCCCTGCTCACATCTCCGGAGAGCCCCCTCTCCAGGTCTTCTCACGGA